ATATAGGAAAACGTTGCCACAACAGTGTACCACAATGGGAAAAAAAAATTATATTACATTTTGATTTTCTTTTCAATTGAAATGCATATTTCTTTTATTGATGCATCCAATCTTAATTTCCACAAAAATCTGCCACACATATACAGACACATATACACATGCACACACACACACACACACACACACACTCATCATTACAGTCACTGAAGGCCAACTCATCCTCGTTGTCATCACGTGGAAGAGCCAACTCTGCACTCTTCATATTGCCCTTTCCGTGAAATATTGCTGTATTCATTTTCTAAAAAGAATAATTAATTTTCTTATTCATACATCAATACAACTATACTACAGTGAACACTTCAAATAAATAAATAACTGCAATCATATTATTGAAGTTACTATCTATAAAAAAAATCGCAATGGGGAAATACATTACTTCAATTCCACTGTGGTACAGAGTTGCCATATAGCAACATTGACATTTTTTTAAATTTACAGTAAAATGGGCAATGTTGATTTTTGAATAAAAATATGTAATTGACTTAACAAAGATGATACAAAAAAAATCCCCCTTAAGAAGAGATGTTCAGAAACGAGGTTAACAGAGCAATTTCTGGAGCACTTCAACAGGTATCCTCCATGTGAGGGTGACAGTGAGAAAAAGTGTTTTGAAGGAACATTCAAATGCCATTTGACTTATAAACATCACATCATTGACTACCTTAAGGTCGGCCCTTTTAATTACCTTTTAAAAAAAAAAAAATTGTTTCCCAAAATAACAAGGAAATACGTAGAAATGTATTGTTGCCATATGTCAACTCCGTTCCATAGAGGGATATATATGTGTGTGTGTGTGTGTGTTTTTGCCACAATAAAAATGAAAAAAATGAGTTTTTTTCATTGTATGGACAAAAACAGTGTGTTCCACAAAACAAAAGAAAGGCATTGGCACAATGAAGGGTGAGTAAATGATGACAGAATTTTAATTTTTTGGGTGAACTATCAATTTTAAGTAAAAATAAGAGATCTAGTAATACAGCTTTTTATATTAAAAGTAGACGTTTCTGTCAACGCTCTCATAACAATTTTAATAATGCGAAACAAGTTGAATCATCAGGCATATCACTGTTCTCAGATCAGCTTCATGCATTTCGAAACATTCAACAAATGAACAAATTAATTTGCTGATTTTGTCTATACCTTAAATTGCAAGTTGTAGATGTTATTGTGAGAGATCTTTGATAACCGAACTATTAGGAGTTTTGGAAATGTAAAAAAAAAAATAGATTTAGCTTTGAAAGAAGTGCAAATGGTTATAAAATACATTTATTTGGTAAATGTTTTAATGAATGGATTCATTTGTAAATATCATAATGGATAGAATAGGCTATAAATGGATTTATTCATTGATTTATAGTTTTTCTTTTTCAAAAAATAAGAACAAATCCTACAAAAAACAAATGCTTTGACAAGAATTTGGTCTTGGCTATGCACACTCAATGAATGAATGAATGAATGAATGAAGCTGAAGTCGGAAATTAAAACGAACAGTACCATGCGTGTTGTTTAACTTAAGAAAAAGGTATTAAAGCACTTTCAGTTCTTTGGAAAGATGAGATGACAGTATGCTTTGGAACTAAGATCTGACAGACTCTGTGCAAAGAGGAGAGCGGGCAGCAGCATCCACTGAAGCCACGCAACACCATCGCGTCCGTTTAGAAGGACGCACGCATAACTGTGAGACAAAATATGCATCCAGTAACTCTCCTCTCTACAGTTTTCAATATACCTACCTAATATGAATGAGAGACAAATTATCATATCCATTGTCAGCCTTCATTCCAAAGTACTAAAAAAAGAGCATATGAAACAGCATATCAAAGATTTGCCATTAATTTTAATTTTTGCATGACAAAAACACCCCACTCGATCAAAGCGCAGAGAATGAGGCATTATGTAACCCCAAAGCAGCGCCTCTGTGATGCTTTGATTTTAATCAGTGTGCGAATTCAATTCATTTTCGGGGTGGTATGAAGGAATTTTATTTTTTTAGGTTGTTTTTCAGGTCTTATAATCTGCGTCTCACGCAACCCAAATTGTTATTTTGCTGGATCAGCACAATTAGATTGGATGAAGTCATAAAATGCATTTTAAACAAATGTTTTTGCGCTCTAATGTCATTTTGCCCTTTCACGTGATCCATCCAAGACATGAACTAAATGATTTCAAATTGAATGTGGGCTAGGGGTTACGCGGGAAAATATCCATCATATTGCTTACATATTTTTATGGTTCTTTGTTTTTAAGTTATTTAAGCGCCACACGACATTAGCCTACACAATTTGGTCTGCATTTGACTCAAACGACGACGGTAACGCGATGTTGTTCAGAACGTTATATATCCATTAAGCACAACTTTCTGATGGAAAATAAAGTAGTGAAGTCGGTAGATATTCGTGTATGGTAATGCGCCCTGTTCCCTCCAGAGAACACACTTCAAGTGCTATCCCCCTTCGGAGTGAGCGGGGTATAGTGATGCTCACTTTGGAATGGAATTGTCTCATTATGAAAGCTGTTCGGCGTTGAGCCTGCTGCTGTGCGCACGCGAGAGAGTGAACCGGTTGGATATGATGAAGACGCGCAGCCCGCGTGGGAACGGTACGGGTTAGTTTGCACCGGCGAACTCCGCTCGCGCGTCAGCAAGACTTCTTACAATTGTCGTCACATTCCGCTCGCAGGGCAACATTTAGCCGTACGCGAGCAAAATCCGAACGTCGATCTGCGCGCAGTAACGCCTCCTCGCTGTCATGTAGGGGCTTCATGTGAACGCATTACTGTTGACCGATGGGACACAAACAGAGGGTCACTCTCGGTGTGAGGAGGCAACGTGAAGAGGATCCGCCGTGTTTAAAAGAAACGAATCGTTTTGAAGAAGAAACAGATCAAATAGTGACAGTACTCTCAGAAAAGTTGAGTTCCAGCCGCAGAGGAGCAGGTCGAAACGCTTATCATATCTAACGGGGAACACTGACTGAGTGTTGCGCGTGACTGGGATCGCGTCTAAATAAACACCTGCCTCCGAGGACCTTAAGAACTCAAACCTGACAGAAGATTATTTACCGAGGATTAAGCGTCCGTTTGAATCACTAAATTATAAGGATATATCCGCCTGTATTAATAATAACTCATCTGGAACTGGGTGAAAATGAGACAGCGGTTCAAACGCGCGCAGAATTCACCCGTTTATTTCCAGTTGTAAGCGCTGCCCTGACCATCCTTTGGGTGCATATCTGTCACCCCGGAGCGGACCATCCGGACAGCTGCATCTGGAGCAAAGGAGCGCTGTGCTGTTTGAAGGTTTCTGCAGAATAACACTGGAGCAATGAGTCGCATCCCCTATCCACAGGTACGACTATCACGCCATGAAAGCGCACAGTAGCTTAAAACTGGTTAGTGATTTTAACAGTGAAGCGAATGTAAACATGCTGCAATGCAATGCAAACCTTTTAATTGGTTAACTGTAAATTCCCTTCATATACGGTGTAAAATTGTAGAAGACAACACGTGCAATTTTGCTGTAACACTGTTTAAACTACAACATATAAATTACCTTATAAAAATGCAATACACATTCGTATATGGCAAATTGTTGTTTAAATCATATTTGTTCCCCCTCTGAGAAGAGGCTTTTCCAGAACCCCCACAATCCCACAAACCCACACAATCACAGTTGTTAAGATGGCATTTGAAACGATTCTCCTTATTTGTGTTCAGTGTTATGTGCATTAGAGTATTTTATGTTGCATTTTATGTTGCTTTAGTCATATTTGAAGCATTATTTTATGATTGTGTGTATTAACCTAATGGTATTATGTTTGTGTGGGTAACATTGTGCTGTTGTCAGTCTGTTGGTACTAGTGACAGAAACTATAGAGGCTTATTTTTATGCAAGTACATCGTGTGGCTTTCCATTGTATCACTAGTGTTTGGTGTGAGTGCAGTACAGTATCAAATAGATTTTAACGACTCAAGTAGATTGGTATTTTTACAGTGTAATTTACATACACGGTCATAAAAAATATGCCTTTTAACAACGTTTAACATTTAAGTATTTTTTTACAGTGCACATTTTTGCCATTCAAATTTTTCCAAACTAGTTGCGTTTATTATCATTATTATTATTGATGTTGGATTTAAAAGTCTTAAATTGATGTTGGATTTAAAAAGGCTTTTCTTGTCCTAACTTTTGTTCTTTTTTTTTGTCTTGTTTAAATATAGTAGAATAACACTTGTCATTAAACTATCATTTGACACTGAGATTTTAAGGGAAACAGTGGAGGTAATTAATGACTATCCTTCGACGGGGGAGATCATTGCCAATGTGAGTCAGCAGTGTGTGGGTGTGCTATTGAATTCTGTAGACAGTAAATACAAGCAGGGACAGGACGCAATCTCCTGCCAGTCCTCAGCTGAGCCGCAAGACATTTTAAAAGAATGTCAATTCTAGCTTATAATAGAAACTTGGCAATGCATCACAAACATATCATAGATTCTAAATAATATAAAGCGACATCACTGAAAGGTAAAGAAGAAAAGAGCCTTTATTTTTAGCCTTATAAAGGATGCAGCAAGTTTATTAGTCTCCGCTCTGGACCGTGGCCCAGTTTGGCACCATTACGAAGTAATGTGCTGAAACTCTGACAGTCAAAACATACAAGCTTTCAGCTACCATTAATATGTGTTTTATCACTTTCAGCGCTGCGGATAGTATTTTTCCCAGGAAAATTATTTGAGTGATGATTGATCGTATATGAGTTTTGAAATACTTAGCGAGTGAAGACACGGTCCTGTGATTTTGGCTTTGCAGCTTTTGCCAGTGTTATGAAATGTCCCATGTGGCTGGCAGGGGTGCAAAGAAGCAATTAGGATTCCATACAACTGCTAATCGACTTATATTTTACTCCTTTTCGTTGCCTCAGCACATCAGCGTGGTTGCTGTGATCTCAGAGGAAATTTTATATTCCAAAAAATGCGGTACCCACATTTCATTCCTGGCATTTGAAGGCTCACTAACCTTTTTCCAGCAGCCACAGAGGTCAAAAGGTCAGATCTGAGATGATTGACTGGTTGTGCTGATGATTGCGCTAAAATTGAGACCAGAAGAAAACCGAGCCATCTGTGAAGAAGAAAGGCTTATGAATGTGTAATCTTGCTCTCTTTAGCCGTGAATGACATCGTTATCATTTTGTTCTCCTCCCTCTAGCCCTTTTGATAGCATATTTCCGTCATGATGCCGTCGGTTGTTTACAAGTCAATTGTTTGCCCTTCATTTTCACCTTGGCACACCTGACGGGAGCTCGGAAGGCATCCTTTACAACCCGTCCTGCAGGAAATGAGAGTTTTGAGGTCATTCACCCCACAGGACATGTGTTTGTTTGTGTGTTCATAGCACCCCACAGGAAGAATAATTTCACCTGTACACATGACTCCTTCGGCCTGGTTAAGCAGCGGAAGCCTTTGTCAAATTACAGTCGAGCCAGTGCAGTTCAATAAGCACACAGGTCTAATTAACTCATCACAGAGATGTAAGGAGCGGAAAGGCTTCTCGCTCTCCACAGACCCAACAGCTTCGAGCTGAAGCTTTTAGATACAGACAAGCAACATTTTAGATGCATGCGGTGGGCTTATCAGTTTCTCCTCAAGATGTCACAATTTAAATGTCAGAAGAGCCACAGTCTATTTTGTGCTATTTGTCGCAGTCTGGTTTGCTTATAAATTTGCTGCCTTGATTCATTGTAGCGGTTGTGGCTATTTGGATTCTTTCACACAATAGTGTACATATTGAATGGTGTACATGTCTCATTATGTTCTGTTTCGAAGAAGAATGCTTGCAGTCTTTTGGGAAAAGTTGAGTCTGTAGAGCTGGAACAACCTTTTTGAGGGTACTGTTGAGGTTTAGGGGTTTCAGACTCATCCAAATGCATTCAGCACTCACTGTGTCTTAGCAACGGCAGGTACAGCTCATTATTTTTGTAGTTTTAATATCCCAGAGGTCAATATCGTGTCTATGATTTAGCATGGTTCATGTACCGCAGTGTCTTTGCATGACTAATCGAACATGTACTGAGTATAAACACAGATGAGGATTCCCAGAGCAGTGAACAACCTCTTAAGTACTTGGAATTGGACTTTGCGTTGGGCCACATTGTTCTTTTTTGACGACAGGCTCGCGTTCTCATAACCAGTCAAGACGATTATTGTTTTTTATATATACTGCAATGTAAATGGTGGCTTATTTAGTGCTAAAGCCCTGCTAGGTATTTTGTGTCAGCGCTGTGTCTCTTTTAGGAGGTCTTTCAGTGATTGCTCCTCTGCCGCATCTCCTGGAAATGCAGCTCATAATAATGACGTTAAGTCATTTGGGAGTTCCTTTTCTGAATGTATCCTTTCAAATCCCCTCTGCAGTTCTCAAACTCTGAAAACGAGCTTGCTGCCGAGAATTGCAGGATCTCGAGTTTTCCAGCTCGTTGCCATTTAGGGATGGTTTTTATATGCGACCTTACGCTCCTCTGTCACTCAGAATTGAATAGCTTCAGATCATATTGGTCTTGAATTGGTTGTTTAAATATTTCTTGGTTCTCCGCTCTGGGTGTCGTGGGAGATATTTGGGGAAAGTATGAAATGAATGTTATGAAAACAGAGATTAGAAGTAATTGTTCACATAGCTTTCATCATTGCGAACTGCATTAATGGTATCTTGTCATTTTCTCATTGCCAGAACAGGCCACAGTTTAAATCAATAATTCCTAACCAAGTCCCAGGGGGTTCCAGAGGGTACTTGGAAACATTTTTGTTCTGCTTCTTTTAAATTGATAAAACAGAAATACTACTATGCAGAATATATGCAGAATTTAGTAAATGCTACTACTACTACTAATAATAATGGGTTAAATGAAGATCACTCTTATATTGAATCTTATATTTTCTGTTCCTTTTTAAGGAAAGAAAGCACAAAGTATCTCACAAATTATAGACACACACACACACACACACACACAAATGTATGTGATAAAAAGTGTAACGCATACTGATATCTAGTATATACAGTATTCATAAGTTATTCTTTTGAGTCAAATCTTGTTAACAAACTGATTGAACTGGTTCACAAATTCATTCATTAAATGGACTGAATCTGTGAGTGTTTGTATTTTATTATAATTTTTTCCTTGGTTTGAATGGAGTTTGCAATGAGCCAAGAACCTACAAATGCTTGAAAGTGAGTGAACCAAGGGTTTGATTGAACTTTACTTGCATTATTATCTCAAATTAATTCACATATACATATTGGTATTGGTATAAATAATTATGTTAAACAATTCATTTTGGATGAAAGATGTCAATTACTTTTGCTTTTGTTTATTGTAATTGCAAGTTATATTTACGTTCTAAAAGTTTTTATGTTTTGTAGAAGCTGAATCATGACTGCAGTAAACTAAAGTGGGACACATGAAATTGCACAAAAAATTAGCTGAACAAATTGTTCAAATGAACTGGTTAATGGAAAGGAGTCAGATTTTCCATCAGGTTGGGAAATACTGGTTTAAATAATTTAACATTAGGAAAATAATTACTTCATAGTAGCTTCTTTCACCAAGAAAGACATAACAGATTTAACATTGAGCGCTGGCATATCAACCTCACTTAAAGACTTGGTTTTATCACCCCCAGACTGTCGCAGTAAATTTTAAAAGCATATTGAGGGTTATCATAAATCACTTAAATTAAAATTGTGCTTTACCTAATAAGGTATTTAGGGAATCGTTGGAAGCTTTTGGACATTTTAAAAGCTGGACGGCTCGCACAAAATGCATTTGTTCTTTAAACTCACTTAATTAGTCTAGGCATGGAGCACAGCCGGTCTGCCTGAAGTGGAGATAGCTGGCAATGGAAAAAGTAAGAATGAAAGTGTGTGTAAAAAGTGCCAAGGCTTGCGCAAAAGCTGTATTACATGATAGTGAACATACTCTGATGAAGGGGTCGGTGCATGATTTCAGAGATGGGTTTTTGATGAGGGAACAGGAAGTGCACTTTTGTTAAAGGCTGAATGGCAAGTACTTTGTAAGAGCTGAGGTTGCGGTATAGATTTTGCATGAGTCATTTAAAATGCCTGTGTTTAAAGCAAATGAGGAGTATAGATGAACCTGAGGTAGAGCTGGCAACCTAGTCCTTAAAAACAATGGACCGGAAACCTACGGAAATAAATCAGATCTCAAGGACCCTAAATATAGCATGCTTTCCTAACCATGTCCTTACTTGTAAAGTCAAATACTGTGCAAAGTGACAAAATCACAATGGACCCTTTTCAGATTTCCGGGGTTCTCAGAAGCAGAAGTCATCATTATACAA